CGACGAAGAATGGCAAACAATATGGCTTATAACAATAGAAAGCACGCATAAAAGAACGAGAGCGAAATAAGACGTTAAAATGACACATGTCAGCGACCGCGACTAATACGAATAACACTCGTTGGTTGCCATGGTTACAGAAGTAATTAATAAACGACAATTGGTTGGAAGTCGAAGTTCACGTCAAAGCGTGCTTAAAAGCATATGTATAATGCAATGCAATAAATATTAGAAATGATTAAGAATATTGTGAAATGACAAATTATCAAAGAAAAATGTTTATAAATTAACCTAGAAGATTTTTTTTGAAATGTCAAATTGACAGATAAATAATTTATTTTTTAAATGTCACTTGTCAAATGAGAAGCTATGAAGCTGTGATGAAAAGATAAAAATGCCATATTATGTTGGAATTGTTTGGTAAATGCACATAATATTGTGACAATGCTTTGATGTTTGTTCGTGGGTGGAAAAAAAGATGTCGGAAGGAGAGAAGAGAATAAAGAAATTGGAAATGGATGAAAATTATCGTGAACCGTGCAGAAGCGTTTCTTTCAATTTCCTTGTATCTTAGTTACCGCCTACTGCTACATCTTATACTCTTAAAGTATTGACGTTTTCGTGAAACTTTGTTGTGACAATGGAGGAGAAACTGTTGCGCGAGATGCCGAATTCAAGTAGTTCAGAAGCCAAATTAGTCCCATCTTCTTTTTCTCTTATTCTCTTATTGTCCATAGCAACGGTCGGACAAAAGAGCATCCCTCCATCAATGTCCGATATGATCGTTCACCATGGAAACAACGGGAAGCGAAACGAAAGAGAGAGAGAATGGAGAGCGCCAAATTTGCGTGACTTCCAGAACGGTAGCTCCCGTGCGGCGAATTCTCTGGAAGCAGCACAAAACCAACCAAAGAACCAAAAAGAAGAAAGATGCAGACTTGGAAAGAGATGAAAAAACTACTCTACTCAGTCTAATTTGTTGCAAATGGGGATGGCGTGGAGGGACGACTTATTGGGGCAATATTTTCATCAGGGCTGTCATCGTTTATGCTCCTACTGTATATCTCACGCTGAGTCTCCCCAGAAACCTTCTTCGACCGACTGGAACATGCATATCAACATGACAACAACATGACGACAACATGACAGAAGGGAGAAGAAAATGGTGCAGAGCAAAAAAAAAAAAAGGAGAGGCAATAAGAAAGAAAGAAATGAAGAAGAAGAAGAAAATTGAGTTCGCCTTCGCTTTTTGCCAAAATGACGACCGACCACCCCCTTTTTTTTTTTTTTTCTGTTCGTTCGTTCGTTCGTGTTTTATTGAACCCCGCAATTCGTGCATGAATTCCCATGATGAGGGAAACGCGCCCACAATTTCCACGGGAATCATCGGCCAACGTCTCTGACCGCAATAAAATCGTTAGCGATTCTCCCCTCTAGAAATACGTTATTCGGTCGCCTTGGTTACATGTGACAGCTGTCAAATTCATAAATAAACAAATTAATTAGTTGCATATGAAAAAAAAATGAAAAACGTGCGAAAAGTCACTGTCAAATAGCGAAATTGTGTATAATTTGATTGTTGTTGTCATGGTAATATCAAATCACCATTATAATTTCCCAGAATTATCTCAATTGGATTTTACTAATTGTTTTGACAGAAATGTCAATCAGGTAATATAAACAAATTGCTTTCAGAAATGACAATCATTATAACAATAATCATATGAAAATCAATAAGAATTTTGTGAAAAATGAACAAATTATATACAAAGTATATTCAAATGTTTTTTTTTTAATTTACCAACTGTTTTCAGAAATGACAATTCGACAGAAATGTCAAAATGACGTTATAAAACAAAACAACAGCATTTTACCAATTTTTTTGACAGAAATGTCAATCAGCTAATATAAACTTTCAAAAATGACAATCAGTTGTTATTATAACGATAATCATATGAAAATCAATAAGAATTTTGTGAAAAATGAACAAATTATATACAAAGTATATTCAAATGTTTTTTTTTATTTACCAACTGTTTTCAGAAATGACAATTTGAAAGTAATGTCAAAATGACGTTAGAAAATAAAACAACAGCATTTTACCAATTGTTTTGACAGAAATGTCAATCAGCTAATATAAACTTTCAAAAATGACAATCAGCTGTTATTATAACGATAATCATATGAAAATCAAGAATAATTTTGTGAAAAATGAACAAATTAAGTTAATCATTCCTCCTCGATCCATATAATCGAGCATCTTCAAATGTTTTTTTATTTACCAATTGTTTTCAGAAATGACAATTCAGAAGAAAAAAAAACAAAATGACGTCAATAAAAACAAAACAACTGCAATTGTCAATGTGCATCGATTGCTACAATTATTTTTATTGTCACGCTATTTATCACGCAAAAATGATCATTTTCTAGTTGTTTTTTTTTTGTTATGTTTTGCGAGCGCATTTATTAATTTGCATAAAAATTCGTTCCGATTATTTGGCAATGATCTGTAACCATGACAATAATAATAATTTTCGGATCGTGTATGAAAATAAAAAAAAAAGAAAAGTTAATTAATATCCAGCGATGTAACAAAAAAAATAACAATGAATGTTTTTACCGTTTCCTTCGAATTGTAAAGTGCACTTTCGATTCGAGGCTGTCGCGATTTTTAACTGAAATTTTTGAATGTTTTTTTTGTTTTGTTTTTTTGTTTAACAAAACACATCGATCTCATTGATTTGGTTCGATCGGTTCCCGTGTGATAGATATTTTTTTTCCTCCCGATTTGATTTAGTTCTCTTGGTCTATTGTAGATTTTGGTTAAAAATCGAGTAAAAGAAGTGAATCGAAGCGGAGAAGAATTGGAATGGTAATTGTGTGTGAGCTTGAAAACCAGATCGAATCTGATTGATCTCGTTTATCGTCGGTCCGAAATGCACGTTTCACTAATTGGGATCGGCTTCGAAAAGTCTTGTTTTGCATACGCGAGTCGTGTGAATACGATTCCGATCGATCAAGTGTTGTTTTTGAACTGTGAAGAGAAGAGTTGTTAATCCTCCGCTAAAACCGTGTAATCCTATTCGGTTACAATGGAATTACGTCCATCTTACGGTCAATATTTTGGCCCAACCCTCCCCAATAAACAATATTATTGGTTTCCATTGGTTACCGATGATTGGGGTCCCGATCGTAAACAGTTTTCGGAATACCACTGAAGAGAAACAACAACAACAACGACGACGAGGAGGCAGAAAGAATCTAAGAGATCTAGTGTAGTATAGATAGACATAGAGGTAGTAGTGGTTCTACCTAAACTCATCCCTCGACTTTCTTCTTCTTCTTCTCGTGATTCGGTCGGTCCCTTTTTCAAACTTCTTGATTTATTACTCAATCATATTGCGTTTAATTTTAAATTATGACACTGAAAAATCGACTCTCCTCCATTCTCTCCTCTCATTCCACCCTCTATATTTTTTTTCTTTTTCTTTTACTTTTACTGCACTCATTCAGAAATGAACGCAATAAATCCGGACGTCGTAAATTGTTTTTGACTTTTCGACATTAAAAAAGTCAACTTTAAATTTTACATTTCACCAATTCATTCACTTAATAAACGGGGAAACAATACGTCAATTCAAACAACGGCTGCAATTATTATTATTGATATATTACCATAGCAACTAAATAATAAAGAGAATTGTTCTGCAGCTTTTTTTTTTTTTTTTTTTGTTCATGGCACACCACATTTTTTGGCTAGTCACAACATTTTAATTACCATTATATTTATGTAATATCGATGGAAACTTTTGCATTCACTATTCACTGAGTAAATAAAAATTAAGAAGAAGAAGAAAAAAACAAGTGTATATAACAAAACCAATCTAGATTTCTGTGACCGGTTAAAATAACATTAATATTTTGAGATAATGAAATTAGAAATTGTTTAAAAACAAAAAGTTAATCAATTGTAAAATTAAATTTGTACATGAAACTTGTAAAAAATAATAACAATTGAATAAGATTTAACCGTTCTTTAATTGTTCATAAATAACCTTGAATAAGAAATCATATTGTAATTGTAAAAATTGTTGATTTTATAGTAACCAAGGAAACAAGCCGCAAGGACACGTTTAGAATCATAATTATAATAATAATAATTATGTTTTAGAAGATTAATTTGAGTAATAAAATGAAAACAAATGAATAAGAACTGACAAAATGTAAATTTTATTAATGATTGTAACCATGGAAACAACACAAAATTGAAATGATAATAACGTAAGAAAATTTGATTTTATTATGAAACTATGGAAACGTGAATTGAAATGTTAATAATATCGATTATCCGATTGGATTAAACGATCAGCGGTGAAGACGTAAAGCGAATCAATTGCATATCGGCGATTGGTCATAGATTTAAATTAGATTCGGAGCGTACTTAATAATAATAATATTGATTGATTGAATGTATTTGGAAAACGTGCATTTTGTTAGCGATTATTGTTGTAAATAATGAGGATTCGTGTAGGTTTGCGGAGCAGCAGGTAAGTAAGTAAGAAAAAAATATATAAATGAAGGATGGAAGAAGAAAAAAAAAGGAGGAAGTGAGTTAATGAGAGGGCAATTGAATTACGTGGATATAACACAAAAAAAAAATGAACTGCTGTTGATGATGACGGTAATAACGTTGGCAGGAGGAAGAGAAGGAGGAAAAGTGTTGATGTTGGAGAGAGAAAGAGATGTGGAGGTGGATGATGATGAGGTCGTTCAAATTGGCCAATTTTCATTGAAACGACGACGTTCATTGTCTACGTCCACCCACCGGAACTCCCCCAATTGCGGCCACCTTCAGCCTTGGAAACGGTCGGACGGATGGAGAAGAGGAGGGTGTGGTCTGCCGTCGTTAGGCGTGACTTCTTCTTGGTGGTGGTGGACAGGAGGAGCAAAGGACGTTAAGCGATGACGAGAACGACCATCGTCAGTGCAGCTCGAACGACGAAGTTGTGTTGTGTGTGCGTTTGCGCGCGTATTTATTTAATACAATCTTTGCGAAAAGCATATAAACTTCCTAATCATAATCAAGAAAACAATCGAAAATCAACAAGAAAAACAATTGGGTTGCTATATAATAAAGTGCGACGAAATAGTGCAATCACCGTAGCGACAAAATAAAGGACGATCAGTGTTTAGTGAGCAAGATTCCGTACCGTCGCTACGGAGACGACGACGACCACAACAGCCCGGATCCGAGATGACAGTTACCGGAAGTTTGGGAATTATGCACAGGCCATGCTTTTCCGGATATCCGTTTCAAGGTAAAAACAAAAAAAAATTGAATCGAATCAATTTTTTTTTTTTACAAATATTTTGTTTCTAATTAAAAGTAACTTGTTTATGCAAAAATAAAAAAAAATGAAAATCGTAATAGTTGTAAAACAAAACACAAATGTTGAATGGGATTTGTATGCTGGAGTAGGCGACGAAAACGAAAAATGTCCAACTAAAAGAAAATGAAATAGAAAGAGCCAGAGAGAAACGTACAATAAAATACAATTGAACTTAAATTTTAGGGTAGACGCAATAAAAGGTTTGTAACAATGAATGAGCACGCGTTGGGTTTTTGGGGGGACGGACATGGCAATAACTTCTTTTTTTTTATTATTGACCCATATATTCGTTGACTTTACTTTTACTGGACCAGAGCCCCAATTTTTTTCTTTTGTTTTTTTCTCTTTTCTTGTTCTTCCTCCCGAGAATTTTAATAAAGGACAAAACCAAACTTTCCATCATGCAATAAACGGCCGACGAAATCCCAATACAATTTATTGATGGCAGAAAAAATGTCACTGACCAAATTGGAAATCGTAAAATTTACGAAAACCGTACACACATTTTTTTTTTGGTTGAAATTTCTATAGCAACATATTTTATTCAACAATCACCTAGCAACGATTGTTACGAAACTTCAATTAATCCAATTAACAGCGTTCTCTTGTTCCTTTCTAAACGCGTTTCATTTTTTTTAGAAACAAATTACTTAAATAATTGTTCAAATTTTTAAATTTATATAAATCCAACATTAATGACAGCAACACGTCAATTAATTTACAATTAATTATTATGCAACTAAATTAACGTTTTTTTTTTTTGTTTGTTTGTTTCGTTTTTGTTTTAAGGACAGGGACGTGTGAACCAATTGGGAGGCGTATTCATAAATGGCCGCCCCCTGCCGAATCACACGCGGCTAAAAATCGTGGAGTTGGCGGCCGCCGGAGTCCGACCCTGCGTCATCTCGAGACAATTGCGCGTCTCACACGGCTGCGTCAGCAAAATATTGAACAGATATCAGGTAAACATCACAATCACAGCCAAACAATTACTAACAAAAATAAATTCAAATTGAGAAGAAGAAGAAACACTAATCTTTTGAACTGAACTTAATTTTTACTCATTGAAAGCGGTCAAAACAATTGCGTAACTTTATTTATTGCACTTCTTTGTTACTGTTGGGCCACTTGTTTCCGTCACTTCTTCCATTGCATCGATTCGAATAAACGAAAACAAACGTTTCCATGGTTGCATGGGTAATTGAGTAACCAAACTAAACAAAAGAAGAAATGTGTTGTCTCACGATAAAACAATCGCATCGAGACGGTTTTCCTAAAACAAAATCGAGAAAAAAAAGCAACGGTTACCGCAATTACGTCTTATTATTCAAATATAGTTCGTACATTTCGAATTTGAAATATTTTCAAAAAAAACAAACAGTTGTATTGTAATTTGAAACTTGAACGATTGGATTGATTTTAACGACAAACGAAAATCGGATATGAGAAACAATTGCGTACGCCATGGAAACGGGTGACTCATATTGCAATCAGAAAGAAACTGGAAGAGAAAGAAACAAAAAAAAAAGCGAAGCAATAACCATTTTACGTGGCCTTCCTTGCGTTAATAACAAATACGACTCTACATATTCAATCTCTTGTTCTCTCTCTTTCTCTTCTCTTATTTGAATTTTCTAATTAAAATAGTTTCCGAGAAGCGAAGAAATTCGATCCAATCGCGCGCAATCGGAGAGCGTTTTCAATTATGTCGTAAAAGTTGTTAACACTTGTTGTTTCTACTTGCTTATTTCATTTGTTTTATTTTTGTTTTGTTTTTTTTGAAGGAGACTGGATCTATAAGACCCGGAGTAATCGGCGGTTCGAAACCGAGGGTCGCAACTCCGGAGGTCGAGAACAGGATCGAGCAATACAAGAGGGAGAATCCGTCGATCTTCAGTTGGGAGATCCGCGACAGATTGGTGAAGGAGGGCATCTGCGACAGAAGCACCGCTCCGAGTGTGTCCGCCATCTCGCGGTTGCTGAGGGGACGTGGAGGCGAATGCGACGGTAAGAATCTCCTCTAATATCTGATCTATATAATAAATACTTCTTCGTCTTCACGAGAAAGATCAAAAGGAAACCGAAAATCTCGAGCGTATCCCATTTCGGGAAGTTAATTGACCGCCGATGATGTAACACATTGTGCGTGCGGCTGCGGCTTCTCAAAACACACATACAAAAGGGACGAAATAAATGAGGAGCGAAAAAACAGATGAAAAAGGGCGCCTTCTTGACACCCGAAACCGCACCGCCCCGAAACAAATTAACGACGTTTTCGCAATTATTATTAATTACTATTCTTTTCTTCCATCTGATTTATGCGATCTTTGATATTTAATTAATTGTTGTTTCTTTCCTCTTACAGACAAATCGTCTGATAATGAAGGCGCTTCGGATTGCGAAAGCGAACCGGGGATTCCCCTGAAGAGGAAACAGCGCAGATCGCGGACCACCTTCACCGCGCACCAGCTGGACGAGTTGGAGAAGGCGTTCGAACGCACCCAATACCCGGACATCTACACCAGGGAGGAACTCGCGCAAAGAACCAAACTGACGGAGGCTCGCATCCAGGTGTGGTTCAGTAATCGAAGGGCTCGTCTCCGCAAGCAATTAGCGTCGACTTCGACTTCGTACACTCCAATGGTTTCGAATCCTTACACGACGGCACCGACGACGCCCTACTTGTCGCAAAGTATGCCGGACGCGGCGACCTCCTACGTACCGGCCACCAGCAACGCATCTTCCACGCAAAGTAAGTGGTGGACACAATCAACTCTACCAATATATTTAACAACGTATTAATTTTGGTTCGTTTTTGTTGAGCAGTGGGTGAGATGTACCATCATTCGACGTCGCCGAATCTTCCGTTGAGCACGCACGGACTCGGCCACCATCCCCAGAGCGGCTACGGCAGCCACCCCATCTACACGGGCAACACGACGACGAACGTCTCCAGCAGTCTGATGCCGCTCACGCAATCAATAATGAATGCACCCTCATACAAAGAAGACGAATCGACGGGGGTGAGCGGCTCCGACGGCATCTATCCACCGAATCTACCACCGACACCCAACTCGATGGTGACGATCTTAGGCCCGAACAGCGCCAACAGTAACAGCAACAGCGATTGCCAACAGGAAACTAATAACAACAACACTATGCAGCAATGGAACATTACATCTTCGACGCAGCAATCGATCAGAAACAATCCGAGTCCGAATGGTCTTGGTGGTGGTGCTGGTCATCATCATCACAACCACCACCATCATCATCACAATCAGATGGGATTCGGTAACCATCATGTGACCGCTGCAGCGGCGGCAGCAGCAGCCGCTTACCAACCTCCAGCGCATTACGCGACGGCGTATCAACCGCCGAAACCGACGGCTTTCACGCATCAGGCACCTTTCTGCGGATGGTACTGAATCCTAATCAAAACCATAACGTTCTTGTAAATTTTCTTGTATAAACACTACGCAATCTGTTTTTTGTATATGTAATATATTATATTCAATGTTTCATTTTTATTAATTTTTAAGCAACACAAAAGTTTTATTATAAAATTGTAAATAAAAAGTTAGCGTGTGTTTCTTTTTTTATTAAATAATAATAATTTATAAAGACTTGCATTGAATCATAAATCGTATTCCTCGCTACCCTCCTCCACATCATCATCAAGTTGAACGGATTTCACCTCGACCGTCGCCGATTTCTGGTGGAAAACGAACGATCCCAGATTTCCTTCAATACGATATCGGCCAAAGACTTCTTGTCCAGTTGCTCAGATCGGAAGTTCAATCGGCATTCTCCGGTGGATCTTAGTGATGCACCTCTTGCATTTCAACCTATCATGCGTATGCGAATTCATCTTCTCCAGGATGAACAGCTCCCGCAGCTCGGAGGCGATGAAGTGCCTCTCATCTCCTCGTTGTTGTCCACCACAGTCGAACTCAGAGCTTGTCTCTGGAATATTTTTTCCTCTATCGTTCCAGACTAATATTAAAAAAAATTGATAAATTCAAAGAGTACGTATCAATCAAGTGTAAACTTACAGCAAGGAATCTGTAGATGAAGCAGGGTTTCTTCCGCCAGACGCGCGCCATCTCTTGGCTCATCATTCGCTGGATTCCAATCGGGATCGAACATGACCAGCCTATTGGCCCCGATCAAATTTAAACCACACCCACCTGCTTTCGAAAATCCATTCGGGCGATTCCGGTCATCGTCCCGTCCAGTCGCACCAATTCCGGATGATTGCAAAGCTTCTTCAGACTCGTGATCCCCGCCAACGTACTCAGCGAGTTCTTCAATTCGCCGTCGTTCTCCTCATAAACTCCGAATTGATGTACTTCATGTAGATCTCACGCTGCATCGTCGTCAACGTGCAACAGACGATCATCTCAAACTTTACAGGTAAATACTTTGTTAGCAGAGCGCTGGTCCATCGAATTAGACATCTATTAACGATATTCGATAGCTCTAACAGACAACGCTGAGCCTCTCTCCTCTCAGAAACCGACGCACGTCAAGCGTCCAGACCTTAAATTGTAAAAACATTGCAAATTGGAAATCAGCAAAGCGCGAATACGAATACCTTTGATAATATAATTTTCGAATTTTCTCCTGAATTCCTGCGCACTGCCCAGCAGTCCTTCGTTCACGAAATGTATCAGGCTGAAGTACTCGGGTTAGATCGTTCTGGATGGGCGTTCCCCTGAGCAGGACACGCCTCTTGCACTTTAACCCCATCAACGCCCCTTCAAAAACAAAAATCAAAAAAATGCAATCAAGATCTCGTATTTTTAAGTTTCTATAAAATGAAAAAGAAAATTATTTGGTTTTCCAGTCTGAGACAACACGACATTCAACAATTAGTCGATTTTGTCTAATAGCTTGGCTATTATTAGCTCCAGTCGTGCTACTGGGTCTTGTTGTGTTCTGTTGACTTCATTTTCGGTACTGGATTGTGTCAGCATCAGCGTAATATAAACCTGGTTTAATCCAGTTGTCGTTGACGTCTTCGATATTTAAGTTTTCATTGCTGAGAACCTGGAATCTGTTTGTCAAAACCGTCGATCTGTTGGAATTTTGAATGCTTGAATCGCACTCTGAGCTCGTATCACACGCACTGTTATCTCCTGGAATGTTTTTGCTCTTCCTCGTTTTCTCTTCACACACTATACAGCTTGGAATGATCAAAAAGACATGTATAAATTAAATGATTTACCTGTAAGTTTGATTCTCGCATTTCTTGAGACGGTGTCCTTCATCGCATATCACCATCCCGACTTCTCTCAAATGCAGAATCTCCGCGTGCATCCGAAACGTCTCGTACAAGATGATGAACAACGATACAGCGGTTCTCCCCTGCCCTTGCATGAATTGCGTTAAATTCTTTTTAGCATCTCCGCTTCCGTCCATCATCAAAGAACAAAGTCGACCACCCAACCACTGAAAATGTAACAAACTTAGTTCAAAAATTGACAATTAAGATCGCAGCATACCTTCGTGATTTCGTTACTCCAATTCTTTACTAAAGAACTGGAACACACTATAATAGCCTTATCTATGGAAGGTCTACATTCGGAACTTTGTTTCAACAGAGTCCATAGCATGCAGCGTTTTTTTCCCAAACCCATCTCATCGGTCATTATGCAACCAAACGTACCTTCGATTTGCACACACAATCGTACATAAATTTTACACCCTGCAATATATCAATCGCATTAATCCTTTCTTCTACTAAACTACGATATGTACCTGACGCTGATGCGGTCTTAATACATTCCCAAGATCCACCACAACATGTACCAGAATTTTGCTACAAAAAAAAAATAATAGAATTTACATGCAAATAATAATCAGACGTACTCCTTATTTTCAATCTTCTCTTGCTCAGACATCTCTGGAGGATTGTAGAGGATCAAAGCATTTGGTATATCAGGATCATAGAGTGGTCTCCGAGGCTGTGATCTCCTCATACCCAATTTCTTCATCGAATGACATCCAACGTAATTTCCTCCTTAAAAAAAATCAAGCAATACAATTAAACATCTGAATACATGAATTCCAAACACTCACATAACTGTTGGTGGTGAACATCTCCTGCACTGCGTCTGTAAATTCTTTTGCGCTTTTACTTTTTTCATCTTCTGTCCGTTTTCTTTTAGTTCCGTTCTTCGCCAGTTGACTCGAAGCTAAACTTTTTCTCTACCAACAAATAAAATGCAAAAAAAAAACCTGTTGATTTTCTTTACATGCTCTGCAATCGTTACTAACCATTGTCGTTGATCTTTAAGCGTGTTTCTTAAGCGAATTGTGGCGTATATCCTTTCTTTTCATAATAATCAACGAAATTTCCTAAAAAAAAAAAACGAACGCGCACTTTCAAACACAGAACAAACTAAACAAACAATGTGTACCAACTGAACAAGTAATAATAATAAAGTAACTTTATGAGGATTTGAAAATTTAAAATCCCAAGTTACCAACTGCACCAAACTCAACTTCTTGTAGATGGCGCTATTTAAACTTTTGCTAACTTCTACTCTCAAAATTTTAAAATTCGGATGGGATTGAAAATGAGATTTACAATTAAATTAATGATAAACTATAAATATTTATTAAATCTGTGCTTATAATATATACAATGTACAATATTTTCTTTCAATAACTTCTCCACCTCTTCCTCAATCATTATCTCCTCTTCAACACCACTTTCTCTGCATCCATCGGTTAATTCTTTACAAATATTTATTAGTTAAATCGCTAATTAAAAAATCTTTTTTTTTCTCCAAAAGTTTCACATTTCCACTGCATTATTATTTTTTTTTTTATACCGTTACACGCGCAATCGTGTATACAAATTAAGGGAAAATTAAAAAAGAAAAAAAATAGTAATAATAATAAAACATAATACAGAAAGTCCACAAAAAAAAAATCTCTTTTTCTCAGTTTTGATCCTCGAAAACGTATGGATTTGTGTTTGCGTTTCTTTTCTTATTCATTTGTTTTTCTTTTCGGTGTTCTTCACTGTTACCATGGACACAGTAGTGTACTGTATTGACTAAAGAAAAACAAGAGAAAAACAAACAAACAAACGAATCTAGTAACAATTTCTAAAAAAAAAACAAACAAACATTTTGTTTCGTTTTAAAAGGCACACCGCAATCATCATCATCATCTGTTTCTACAAAAAAAAAACCGCAATAAAATGATCTTTTCTCTTTTTTCGTAGTAATAAATTAAATCAAGAAACAACATTATCGAACCATTCAACGAGTATCGACAATGACTAATTTGTTAGGCACTTACAATGATATAATGTAATAAACAAAGGACAAACGGGGGAAACAAAATCGTATCGTCTGCGTTCAGCCCCGAAACAAAGAAGCTTCGCAACTATTTGTAAATTGATAAGATATAATTTGTGAAGTGAATCGAAGGAGGTGCTGGAATTTAGAATGTTTTAAAAAAAAAAATGTTGATTTGCGCAAATTGCAGCTGAACGCAGACGATTTTGAATACGATCTACGCGCACACACACACATATATAAATTTATTTGTTAAGTACAAAAATTTCGCAATGATAAAAGAGCAAAAGTACTTAATTAAATTGTCTTCGTTTCGATGGAAAAAAATAATATCGCATATTAACTGCAACATTTACATTATATGTGTGTGTGTGTGTGTGTGCATCGTATTGTAAATATCATTAGGATTCGGCGTAAGAATTTCGTTTGTCAATATGATCTAAAATCCACGAATCGTCGTTTCAGATCATCATTGACAAAGGAAATCCTTACTTCTTACTCTTCTTCTCGACATTATTATCACTTTTGTTTCCGTTATCCACAGCTGCTATTGTATTGTTATTCTGATTATTTATATCGACATTGCTTTCCGATTTCTGCCTAATCTCTACCTGCTTGCTGCTCGCATCCTTCGACTCCACGGCCGTCGTCGTCGTCATTGTTGTCGAAGAGGTCGTCGTGGTCGTCGTTGCCGTCGCCTTCTTTCTCGTTTCGTCGTCGTCATCTTCTTTGCTGCTCGGAGCCCGCTCCTCCTTCTTGGCCGCCTTCGTCTCCTCACTTTTGATCTTCGTGAGTTTCTCGACCGCGTTTTGCAACGACTTCTCCTCCTTCGTCTTCTTCGGTTTCGCCGCAGAGTTCTTGGGGCTGTTGGCGCGCGGACTCGTCATCTCCAGATTGAGTCCGCCGACTGCAGGATGCGGTGACTGAGGAAGCGTCGTCGAGGGATTGTAGGGTGCCGGCAGACGACTGCCGAAGAACAGCGAATGGTAAGCGGCCATGTAGCGGGGATCGTAAGTGGGAAATCCTGGTGGTCCACTGGGATAGAGGAACTGCGACGATATGTTCGGGATGAACGGATTCGGCGGAGTGTAGCTCAAATTGAGTTTGTCCCTTTTGCTCGTCGTCGGACTCTTCTTCGGCGACTGCGGTGACTTCCTGTCGCCGCTCTTCGGGGAGCTCTGCAACTTGAGCGGATTGAAGATTGGAACGCTGCTCGTGCTGATCTTCAGGTCCGGTTGGCTGATGGTGATATTGGTGAGGTTGGAGGATTCGGGCGCGCGCTCCGACACCGGTTTCAACGTTTTCGGATCGATCTTCACGATGGAATGCCGCTTGATCTCCGGTCTCGGTTTCTCCTTCTCGACGTTGTGCTGGACCTGGTACAGAGGTTTCACGCCGGACGCTGGATTTCCCAGGTACCTGGGGATGTTGTTGCGCACCTTGAAGAACTTTGCGGGTCGCACATTTTTCGAGGGTTCGGCGGTCGCGGAAGGTTTTGGTCGCGCTATTTGCGGATTCCATGTCTTCGGCGGATCCCTTAGCGTCTTGTAGCCCATCGGACTGTTCGGTTTTGATTTTGGGGTCACCGCCGACGAGTTCGTTTTGGACATCATCGAGCTCTGCGTGGTGTTGATCTCGGGTGGAAGTTTCACCGAGCTGCTGCTGCTGCTGCTGCTTGTGCTGGCCTGCACCTTTGGTACGTTGATGATGGGACTGTAAGCCGGTTTCGGTATGTACGATGGTGGACCTGGAGTGGAAGCCTTGCCCCATTTCTGGCCAGGTGAAGGGGTCATCATCGACGTCGTCGTCGTAGTCAGAAGCGTGATCGATGCTACGGGCGTCGCCGGTCTGGTGTTGTTGATTGCCGCGTGTTTCGTGGTATTGACATTGCTTGGTCTGGTGAACGTCGAAGACGATGTCACCGTCGTCGTTGATATTGATGAGGTACATATTATTGGCGCCGGCGCCGCCGCAATCGCCACCTTCGCGCTCTGCTGCTTCTCCGCTGACTTAACCTTCCTCTCCTTTTTACTCACTTCACCACCACCACTCGAAGCGACCGTCGTAGATGCCGCAACCGCGCCGCCGTCACCACTCATTGTAGCCGTCGTATTAATAGAAGTAGTGCAAACAGAAACAGCTAAAGCCGAAGTTGCTGTTGCTGCTGCCGTCGCCGTTGTTTTCGTCGTCGTCGTAGCGACCGCCACCACTGTATTAGTACTAATTGTCACTTCCTTCTTTATATCACTGTTAACTTTATTACTCTTATTCGCACCATCCACTTTATTGAGCGAGTGTTTCTTGAGTGGATGATTGTTCGAGAGATTCTGCAGACCGACCGAGTGATTCGGTGTGGAGGATGTTGTGATTGGTGTTGTTGGTTTCGATTTCTTCGTAGGCGGTTCCCCCGTCTCGCCGCCGACAACGGCCTCCACCAGCTTCCGCTTATTGTTATTATTACTACTACTACTACCGCCGTCGCCGCCACCAATCACCGCCTCCTTTGTACTACAGTTCGTAACGACCTCCCCCTGCTTAGTATGAACGGCAACAGCGGACGCTCCGCTCTCATTGCTCTGCTGCACTTTACCCTTCTTTTTCTTCTCCTTCTTCGGCGTTTCCACCACCACCCCGACAACACTGTTACCACCGCCTCCTCCTCTTCCTTCACCTGCTGCGACCTCTTCTGTTCCGCCGTTGTTGTTCCTCGGCTGTTCCTCCGAAGACATACGACTCGTTTCGTCGATGGCCTCGATATGCTCGTCCAGCATGTCCAGGCAGTCCTGGATGCCCGTCACGCTCATCTCCCCGTTCTCCGATATCCTCAATTGCACCTCCTTCCAATCGTTATGATTTATACTATTGTTGTTGTTGTTCAAGACAACACCCGCATTCTCCTCCGCTCCGCCCTCGCCATCCGCCACTTGCACTTTCACCCTTTTCGCCATGTTCTCGTATATCCTGTACGTTATTTCCATCGGACCTTTCTACACAAACCCAAACGATTACAAACAAATTCCGTTGCAACAATTTCAACGAGAACTTACCCGTCGCCACAGGTAAATGTAGGCGATATCCATCAGAGTGAGATATGAGTTAAGGCAATCCTGATTGTAGAGGATGTCCACCCGATGGTTATCCTTCAGGTCGTACTTGGCTCGGATCAGCTTCTGCAGGTGGGACACGGAAACGGCAGCCGGACATCTCAAGTACCTACAAAAATAAACGATTCCCATTTAAAACTCCACCTACTCGTCTCAACCAATCTCATGAACCTCTTCGTTCTCGAGTTGCCATGGTAATTGAAGGATATGCATATGGATTCGTCGGGCGTGAGGAGATGCTGGTACGACGCCTCCCCGCACTGCTCCAATCCGGACGGTTTAATATCGGGATGATCCGAATAGTATTGTCTTCTCCTTTGCATTTCATCTAAACATCATTTAAATATCTTAATAATTATAGCACAATATATATATAGATGATGACTTACTTTGAAAGAGCTTCGGTACAAGTTTGTAAACAATGTCTTGGAGCGTCTTGTCTGGACGTATGTTGAGTAGAGGTTTGGTCTTGTGTACTTGCACATCACAGACAGGACAATATCTGTTGGTCTGAAGGTACTTGACAATGCAGCTGCGGCAGAAGGAGTGCAGACACTCAATGATGGTGGTGGCATCGACGAAATAACCTTTGCACAGGGAACAAGTCAGGTGGCCATTCAGGTTGGTGATGGGTATGCGGTGGTGCATGTTTTGGGTGCTGATCACATCCTGCCTCTTGCCAGTCCGAACAATCATCACACCAAAAAGTAATTCCTACTCCTGTTTGCCCATACAGACGAAGATGTTGATCAGCATGCTGGAAGTGGGTCAGCGTTTGCACTAGCCCCCCACTTGTTATTGTTTACTGTGTAATGCTGCTCAAAGGGGATCAAAGGGGGCTAAAAAAAAAACGACTGTCCTCTCTTGTTTTGTTTATCTTCTCTTGTCTTTTGACAGCCGCTGGAGCAGCCACCGCCGTCGCCACCACCAGACACACACACAACGCGCAAGAACAACAACAACAACAAACAACGCACGCAAACAAAGTCCGTCTGGAGTTTTTCTCGTCGTCGTCGTCCTCCAGCACCTCTTCGACGGAGGCTCCTCTTCCGCGCACCACCAAAAACAGGGGGGGCACAAATTCAGAGTCTGCAGTTGCCCCGAGAAACATAACCCAAATAACTCGCGAGTAACTTCAGCTCGCACAGCACAGGTAAAGAGGTTAGAGCAGAGAGTTTCGTGAGATGCGATGCAGAAATGGCGTCCACCGTGCGGACGACGCTCACGTCGCGGCACCAAAGGCCACCACGAGCCGAACGTAAAACTCCAGATCGCGCATTCCACGACGCGTTTCAAACGATCACCAAAAATAAATAACTAATTGCAAAATAAAAACATACATAAATTGTAAATAAACGCGCACTTTCGCAATGCCGCCAACCCAACCGCACGAACAATCACCATTTATTTTCACTTCTTCCTCAGAAGACGTACCATCAACAAAGAACGCCAACAACGAAAAAATAAAAATAAACAAATCAAACACATTTTTTTTTGTTTTGTTTTCTTCACATATATATTATTATTCTCCACCGCTCATACATAATATACACTTTCTCACGTCATCATCATCATAGTTGTAAAAAAATATCAAAGACGAAAAATAATCAGCAAAAAAAAAGAAAAAGATAAAAATAAAGAGGATGTTATATAGAATCATATATACTGTACACCAACTAACAAACAAAAAAATAATAATAATAATTGCTGTTGTCTTCGAAACGAAAACAAACAAAAGAAAATAATAAAAAAGAAAACAAAATTCGCTTTTCTTCAAATAACAAAATTAAAAAAGAAAATCATAAAATTGGTTGTTGCTGTTGTTGATTTTTGTTGTTGTTTTTTTCTTTCTTTTGGAGTGGGAGCGGTTCAGCAGCATCCTTTTCATCTTCGTCGCATCGTATGATCCGTGTCCAGCACTTGATTTTTCCTTCTTCGTCTTCTTATTTTTACGTTCAAATTAATATAGACAAACAACAAAAAAACGAACGAAAGAAAGAAAAAGAAATGATTATATATTTGCGTGAAATATATTAAAAACGAGCAGTGTGTACTTTTCTTTTTTTTTTTGTCGCATTATTCCGATGGTCGATCAGACTGACACAATAATAAAACAAAAAAAAAAGATTTACACACGCAGAAAAAAAAAATAATAATGATAAATTAGTTGTTACCGTGACAACAATAACAACAATTGTTTGAAGGTTGAAAAACAAAATAAAAATAAAATAAAAAAGCAGCGGATGGAGGAGAGTAGGAGCGCGAGCGTACTCATTCCTCTCTTTGTTTTTGTTTTTTTTTTTGGTGGATTAATTTGTTTCAATTAAATACCCTCCATCTCGCTGCGCCTCTCCTTTTCTATTTTCGCTCTGCTTTCCCCGCTTTACATACTCTTCGCTCTTTCTCTCTCTCTCTCTCTCTGTCTCCTCTCTCTCTTCCTGCTGTCCTTATTGCATATTTGCATTATGTTGGACAACTTGGTTATTCACGGAGGTCGTCTGACTTAATGCTGTGTCTTTGTGATGTTTCTCAACCTGCAACAGAAATAATCACAATCAAGCAATGATCGTTTACAATTAAATAAAAAAAAAAACAAAATATCCCAGCACACTGAAAATTACACATTTACCAATATTGTCCAAGATATGATTTTCTATGCCAGTTTTAAGATAAGATAATTTCCATTGTGATAGATAATTATAAGTAAAATACATATTCTGATAAACAGAAAATAAACAATTTATACAAATTATGATAACTTTGATTATGTAATCATGATTGATTGAAAGAAGCGGTGAATCAGTTGAAATGTGAGTGGGTTACTTTAAAATAAACAAATTAATCTCCATGGTAATGAGTCATCCCCTAGTGGATGACCTTGAAGTTAATGGGTGGGGGGAGGGGTTATATATGTAGTTTAGAAATGAAAGAATTGTGTGTGTGTGTGTGCATATACTGACCAGTTTCTTGACAAATGAAAACTCTTTGCTGTCCGTGTTGCCTTTGACGTTCTCAACTTGGTAAGGAGGGGTGATAATAACTTGGCTATTCCAGACGACAATGTCAGCGTTCCTCCACTGCACCTCCTTGAACATTTTGGAGATGGCCACAAAGAGTCTCTGACCCTCTGGGGGCACGGATGAGGACAAGGAAGTCAGCAGACGTTTCTTCTCGTCAACCTGATTCCTGATCCTGGTGTTCAGCTACGAGAGGAAACATGCATGCAAATTGGTGAATTGTTTTTATGAGAGATAATGCAGTAGACATACCCTCTGCAGATTGAGTGACTGTGGTCCCTCCGGTGGTGTAGTGACTTCCTTCTTGACCTGCAACTCACTGACGAGCGCCAAATTGATGAACTGCACATCGTGCAGATTGTTGATTCCGCTAGCTGTCGGGCATTCTGAGAGGACGGAGAGTTAAGGATGTGTACACCATAGTTACCAAAGATAAACAACCGATCGACCAACCACCAACCACCATGGATTATGATGATGATGATGATTGGGTGGATGGACGACTACGACTACGAAGATGATGATGACGGCGGCGATCGCCGGTCTATTTATTTGTTGTTTGTTGCGACAACGTAGAAAAAAAAGGATACTCAGTATTAAGATTTTGGTTTGCTCGTCAAAGGCCAAAACATCGCCCTCGATCTCTTGATTGTAACACGTCCGACACCAAACAGTACTACCTAATGTAAAGCAGTCAGTCACGGCGGCCATTTCGCAAATATCACCACCACAGCCGCCGCGAAGAACACCATCTAAAACTGGCCACGGGATCCGCAAGGTTGGCACCGCCGCAAAATCACCAGCGCCACCTACTACCAGTTGGTAACAATGCCCACCACCATTTTTCAAATTGAACAACAACAACAACAAAACTCTGCACATATCATAATTATCATTAATTGAGACCCAATTAACAAATGTCTCATAAGTAAATGAGAGAAATACGAATCTAGGAAGCGTAAAGAAACAATTTCACTTCTTGCAATACCTCTAAATCGATCACGAAACTAATAATTCATCGATAATTGAAATTTTGTTTTAGCAAATAATTAGATGAAAATGTAAACAAAAGTAGTAGTTCGTAATTGAACATGGTCTAGTGCAGTTCAGATAAAAACTATTACATCCACCATGAAAATAAGTATGCAGGTGGGAAGGAATCAGTCTTCCCGCATATCCTGCCATAATTGTTCCTATAACAAGTGTAGACAAATCTGTATTAATTAATTTAATTTTTTTATACATGAAACAGATAAAAAAATATTTAAAAATCTTGCATAAACGCTGAGAGGAGTGATTAAAATTCAATATTCCAAAAATTGTAATCACTAACCGTCAAATTTGACACATGCAAAATAGTTGTTTGTTTGTGTCAAATTTGACATTTAAAAGTGTCAAACTAACGTGTTTTTTTTTTGTTCTAATTCTGTTCAGATTATATTTGTAACTTCTGTTGGATACGAATTTAATAGGGATTTAAGTTAGATTAATCACAGTCTGTGCATGTGGTCGTGAAGAGCCGGGAATTCGAAAGCGAAAGGCCGGTCGATTGAGAGAAGAAAAAAACAACAACCCCCCTGGAGAGTAGTTTCGGTTGTAAGAGAGAGCGTTATCCGAGCGTTATCATTCGGATTCGGTCTTTCGGCACGTCTCTCTGTGAAAACCCGGGAAAAAAGCTAGATAAAAACAGGCGCCGTTAACGTTCGAGGAATTTTTGGCGGGATTAAAGAGTATAGAAGAAGAGGGTTGTCAATTTTGGAGGGTAAATCTGACCAGGAAGAGTTTGTGAATCCCGAAGCTCAGTCTGCAGTCGACCTTTCGCGCGTTCATTTCATCCAACAAAGTGTGTGTGGACCTATCCGCAGGTGTAAAAGAGTACACGTGGCAACAACGCTTCACACAGTCTGCTGCGTCTCCTCCAAACAAAACAACAAATTGAACCCCGATTTCGTCGGCCATTGTTTTTAAAGCTTTCTGATGTCCGCAACGATTTTTGTTTATTTTATTTTAAATTGTAATTTATTAAATTAGTTTTTAACAACAACAAAAAAGAGAAACACCAAAACACTTCGATGTGATCATTTAAACGATTCCACGCAGCTCCGCCGTCTCCGTTTTAACAGCGTCTCAAATAATAGACTTTTTAAGGTTATAGGAACGAAAAAAAAAATAACAAGAGGTGAGTGTTTTGTTTCAGCGCCTACTTTCTCTTTTTAACGCTTTGTACAATGAACAGATGGACAAGACGTTGGAGCTGTCCGAAGACTCGGGTTTCGTTAGTTCGCTGAGCTACACGTCCACCTCGACTCCAGCAGAATGCAACCAAACATCACGCAAACGGAGATTCTCCATCATCACCGAGAGGAAACAAGCCATCACGAACATCGCCTCAAGCACGTTAAACGAATCGGCGATATCGCGCAGTTTCGAGCTGTGCAACATCAGTTCATTCACACCAAGCTACTATGTTGAAAGATCTCCGGAGCCTCCAACCACCCCCATCAAATCAGACGTATTCTACGAGTCGCACAGCAAAACGCAAAAGACACCACCGAAACACCACTATCCGTCACTGCAAAAGCTAGGTTCACCTGAGAGCAACAAAATCCTGTACAAAGACATCAAACCGAATTGCATTCAGAAGGTGCTCGATGCCAAAGTGAAAAGATCATCACCAGCCAAGAAGCGTTTATTCTCCGACGCACGTAGAAAGTTGAGTCCATTGAAACTAGATCCTGTTGTGTACTTTACAGTGAAACGCAGATACTTGGATGTGTTGCCGAAGGTCTACTCTTATCTGAGCGACGCCGATCTCTACAACTGCAGCAGAGTCTCGCAGCAGTGGAAGACATCGATCAAAGACATTGCCTGTGCCCAGAGCAGACTCACAAAGTACAGTTTGAAAATCAGTATTAACAAGGAGAATCTAATTAAACGAATCAGCTTGCCGATGCCTACTACGAAGGTCAGTTACAAAATTTGCTAATAATGATGAAACAATGGTAATGGTAATGTAATTTTTAGGTTATCAAGAAATGCGATCTTCAGTTGAACAAGTGCGTGCGATGCAATGAGGCGTCGATCGTTGATAGGAACATTTACCAGTGTCAGAACACCATGTGCGGGTACATCTACTGCAATCTGTGCAACAGCGGTTCGATCACCGGCCCCGAAGACTTCGTGGACAAATGCCAGATGTCAAAGTTGCAGATAGAGAGGAGGGCCAGACAGAAGAGCGAACCGGAGAGCCCCAAACCCTTCTCGTTCCTATACGATTCGTCGGCGTCGGTGGCGACGACCTGTGATTCTTCTTCTGGTTACTCCACAGACATGGAGACTTTCAGTCCGAAGAAGAGCAGGCATTCCTCTGGCGGAGTCCTCTCCAATTACAATCGAGACTTGCCTGAGATGAAGGTGAAGGTGAACAGTTCGAGACGACATTCGAATTACATTCCCGTCATCCCGTTGACGCCGACGAAGCGGCCCGAAATCGTGGAGCCCTCGAGTCCACCGAAGATCATCAACATTGCCTGTTCATCGAAGAGCCGGAAGAATCTAAAGAGGTTGCTGCGATAATAACGAATTATTATTAATTAATTAATAGATTATGAATGATGATGGATGATGTTAATCATGATGATTATGATGTTGATACTCACGATCATCATCATTACGAATTATTATTATTATTGTTTAGTGTTTAGTTTATTTATTCGCGTTGTACATGTACATTTTTGTGTTGTTGTCTTTTTTTCTTTTTTAATTTCATTTTTTTTTTCTACATTTGCTTTAAGTAAGAGAAATTGGGACCCAGTGATTACATTCCAATTTTTTTAATTAAAACAACTAACTCGTTTTTATTACTTAATTATTATTTTTTTTTACTATTAGCTTTAGATCACACACACACACAGAGCAAAACTCTTTGTTTCTTTTTATATGAATCTATTTTTTTATAATGCTTAATAATAAAAAAACAAAACCAATGAAACAATAGTTTCGGAATTACTCGACAAAACAACCATCCCGCTCGAACCGAATGCAATTATCGAAGGGTGCGCTGACATTTTGTTTCTCATCACCATGACCATGTCCGAAACCGGATGTTTACATTATCGTTTTTGTTTTTGTTTCGCAATAATTGAGCCTCTTTCGTTGTTCGTGTTTCTGTTTGTTGTTTTGTGCGGTAAAGATTCGTTTTATTACCAAAAAAAAAAGTTCCAATAGAATTAAGTGGCAAAAAAATTAATGAGCGAGCCGAGCGAGGTCGTGAATCTAAATTCTGAGTGAGTTAATTCATCATGTTTTTTTTCTTACAAATTTTATAACCCCTAAATTATTGCGCAACGCATCAACACAGAAAAAAAAAACAATAGTTGAGCGCGTTACTCGTGGGGATTTTTTTTTTATTAATTTATTTACGTTTTCTGGGGTGGTAGCGGAAACAAATTGTTTTCTCGTCCTGTGCAGAGAGCGTGTTGGTAACGCGTTAGAAAAAAACGGTATTATGCAACGAATATTGTAACAATTATGTTTGGTTGCATAACACGAAACAATCAATTCGTAAAGACAGGAACTACCTGTATCATACGCAAGCCCGACAACCGTCTATTGAAATCCCGACTATATCGAAATCTCGACGTTTGAAATCCCGACTGTATCAAAATTCCGACTATATCGAATTTTTTTACAATATCATTTTTAAATTATTTTATAATTATAATTATTTTTATTATTAATTTATTTGATTTTGTTGAATTATTCACAATAAACCTTAACATTATTAAATAATCTCAAATACAATTAGATTATTCATTGTTATTATTTATTATTAATAACAATTTAAAAGTCACTATGTTTCGGAATAATTTAATAATGTTGTTGAAGACATTTTCGA